TTAACCACAAAGTTTGTTGATAATTAAATAAAAAAAAATAAAAAAATATGGAATGATATGACGCTTTCGCGTCGCTTTTGGACCGAATGATGATTTGAATGATCGAGAAACATAATCAAAACTTGTTAAAAGATTGCAAGTAGCGTTTAGATTAACATTTCTCGATAGCTTTCAAAAATATCTGCATCCAATTTTTTCTTAGACAATTTCAATTAACAATGTTGTTTATTCAATATCTTTCTGTCACATATCAAGTAGTATTAGCGTGAGGTTCGTAAATATATTTTAAATGACAAATTGAATATGTTAGCGATAGAGTTTCAAAGTAAACAATTAGCCCCCTATTTATAGTTTGAAAATCTGTTTTCCATTGAAAAGCGCCATATTAATAAGTATTTAACACAAAATAAATCCAGAAAAAGTTTGATTTGGTTTTTATATCGAAGAAATTAACAACTTAAGAGTCTTGTTAAGATTGCCATCAACTGATTATTTTATTCCTGTCATATAATATGGAGTTAGCCTGGGATTTTTCTCCTTTATTCATACGTAAGCATATAAAAATATTTGTATAATAATGGCTTTACTGATGTTTGTGTAAAATATCAAAGTAATATGTATTTTCTAGCAAAATATGTTAAAACAAAATACATGTTTAATAATGAATAATGAACTACTTAAGTCAACAATTTAATCTGAAGTTAGTTATATCAGTCGGTAGGGGTTACAATAAGAACATAATTTTGATCACGATTCATAAGTCAAAAAGTTAAGATTGCCCTCTATTATTATTGTAATAATCATCAGTACTTTAGATTGCAAACGGGCAGGTATTAATTAGAAGATTTAATGAACATTTTGTCCGACAAATATTAAGTTTAATGTTACGGGTTGCAATGATTACGGGGCGCTCCTAATGTTGCAGTGAAATGGCTTTAATAATTGCCTTATAATACTGAATGTTTTTCGCAATATTATGTTCATGAGCTTTTGTAGTTATTAACCGGTTTAACTAACTACCGATCTTGATTTATTTATAGATTTTGTCAATATAATTAAAGAGTTTAAACCAGTTTGATTTCTTTGCGTAATAATATATTTAGGATTTAGGGTTAGGGTGGGTGCATATCTGTCGGAAAATGAGAAAAGTACGTCATAAATGATATATATGACATGACATCCATCCTTGTATACTCGATGGATGATCTTTCGCATACTAACGCATACTTCCGTAAGATGCATAACGGATCTTTCGTCAGATTTACACTGAGCTCAATCCTCATTTCATATCCACGCTCAATTTAGCTTTCGATTTTTAATCGTATTAATAAAAGTCAGTTATAATTTTAAAGATATTTATATTACATATTTACAAGCATATTATTACAGCTACTAATAATTATACTATCTATATATATAAAATGAATCGCAAAATGTGTTGGTAAGCGCATAACTCAACAACGCCTCGACCAATTTGGCCAAAATCTTTTTTAAAATGTTCGTTGAAGTTCAAGGATGGTTTTTACGGCGAGAAAAATTAGAATTATTGCTGGAAAAACCCTAAAAATAGCCCTTTTCTTTTTCCCATACAAATGATTTGTAACTAAAACGTAGTCAATTTGAGCTTTATTGCTATGGTATAAAGTTCATATTAAATTACAGAGCACTCACTGTTGTCTAAGCAATGTAGGTGTGTTCCTAACGTCAAAGATCATATCTATCAAAACAATGTGCGTGTGTGCGTTGGAGCACAGAATACATAGTTGGAGGAGTTTAATGTCGCGTTCCGAAACTCGCGTTTCTTTTGTATTAGTTTCGGCACGCGAGATAAAATGCATCAGTTTCCACGTCATTACATGTATTGCCGGAACATTGATGAAAATACGCTCTGTAGTAGCAAAGCTGTTGGGTCCTAGATAGCTCATTGGTTAGAGCAGTCCCTGGATCGCGAATGGGTTCGAGTCCCATTCCGGGGTACAGGTAGATGGATTCTTCCAGCATTTTTCCTTGAGAATGTTTATATATTTTTTTAATTCGAATAGTTTACTTTTATAATGCTGTTGTGTGTAATGTGTTTTTATGATCATAAAAATCTCTTTTTTCTATATTTAATACTATTACTATTAATACATTGCAATAATAATTATGATTCACATGATTAACAATAAAGCGATTACTTACTTTTAAATCCTTATATTTGTTTTATTTAATTATTTTTTATTCACAACGCCCTATCACCAGGGTGACGGTTCTGTTCAGGAGAATTTTTTTAAATACGTAGGCAAAAAAACTGCCACATTACAAATCTTTTTGACAGGACGAAGTCTGTCGGGTCAGCTAGTTACTAATAAAATAAAAAAAAAACATAACAAAACTTTTCACCTGCAAATTATTCCAAGTATTTATTTTTAAATCAAGAGATTTATAGTTTAATTTTCTACTACAATGTGTTTTGGCAATATTAAATTAAGTAAAAAGGAACATTCATTCACATTAATCTCGGAACATCATCAATTTAAGATCAGGCTATAAATGTATAAATTTGATTACATATAATTTAAGAAAGAAGCTGTTATGTACAAATTTTCTTAAATAGTATTTTAATTTTCCAAAGACTTCTATGTGCGGCTACTAGACAAGTAATACAGTACTGGAAAAATTTTCTCTTAGGTCCAGCAGTACCCATCATCATCATCGTCAGCCCTTTTACGACTCCACTGCAGGGACTCAGGCCTTTCTTATGGATGATTAAGGAGGAAGGGCCACGACCCTCCACGCTGGTCTAATGTGGATTGAAGATTATTAATGACTGCAACGGCACCAACGGCTCTAACGTGCGTTCCGAAGCACGAAGTAGCTCGGGATAATAATTTTCTGGTCCCCCGTTCCGTGACCGACCCTTGCTAAAGTTGTTTAACAACAACGATCGCGGGCCGCGGCGCTTATCCACTACGCTACCGAGCTACTATTATAGCAGCAGTACTATTCTGTTAAAAATACATCTTCAAACATGGTGCTGACAAATATAACCTATTAAAATAATAATCCAAAAATAAATAAAGGCTTCTTTAATCAAAAAAATATTAAAAAATTTACCAGTGATTAATGGAAATACGCTCACAAGCAGAGAAAAAATAATTGTTCGAGAAATTCGTCAGTCCTGTTGGATCTCGGGTAGTTCAATGGTTAAAGCAGTCCCCCGAATAGCGAAAGGATATGGGCTCGAATCGCTTGCTGGATGTCTAAAACAATTTGAATTATGAACAGCTTGTCTAGTAGTATACATAAAAGTCTTGGTTACCCATATTAAATATAACATTGAATAACTGATATCGAAGAAACAATTTGGTGTATGTACAATTCATAAATTTACTTCGAGTCTACAAACATTTTCTTACTTTACAAATTTGATACGTGTGACCATTATAGTGAATGATATTTGTCTGTCAAATAGTGAAATGTGGAAGTACTTAAGAACTAAACGAACAATAATTTACGTAATAAGACTACCGTCTCATCGGTGACCTAGACGAGTCTCGCACAGTTACGACATTTGTTACAGATATATAATTATAATAATATCTTTGAACTCATTCACATTATATTTGATCAGGCCAAGAAGCTGTTTTAGTAGGATACTTTCAAGTTTCTATCGATTCCAAAGTAAAAACTTTACCAGAACTAAACATATAAAAATCTGTTCCTAATGTCATATTTCACACGACAATTTTTTCTTTTTAGGATTTATAAGCAAAAGCTGACAATTCAACTTAAAAGGAAATATAATAATTTTTTGTTATATAAAATGATAATAGTAGATAAAAACACGCACACGAGTAGAAATGGCAACTTAATTTAATAGCATATTTCGCAAATTATCTCTGTTTAAAAGCCGAAATGAACTGAAAAATACATTTTTCAATAAACAAAGAGCGTATTGAAAGACAATTAAACTGATAATCTTTAAATTATATTTTTTTACATTGTTTAAGAGTACAATGCATAATGTACCTAATTGCATAACTATTTATATTTATTTTAAATCTTTGAACTTTTGAAATGACGACCCAGTCCTAGTTTTAATCATATCTGATTAAACATTGCTGCCTTGCGAAAAGCAACAAAGAGTTTTATTATTAATAAAATTGAGAAATAGCATACTCAAAAATATCAAAATTTGTAACGGTAATGTAGGCTATTATTCGTTTTCGGTTTAAAATCATGAAGTTATTTCGATATACATGGTTCGTACAACGACAGTTTTACAATATTTGCGATTCGGTAAACCAAAGATGTATAATAAAAAAAATCATCTGGCACTTTTATCTTATACTAAACTATCTAACGACATCACAGCGATTAGTTTGAAAACATATTTTAATTTTACATTCTGCGATGTTACTATGTTTAATGCTCTAGTTAGAATTGAAAATCAAATGCAATCTTTAAGGTAGCGTGCTTTTTATTTTTATTAGTATGGCAAGGGCGATTCTGAAATCATATTATTACTTAGATAGCGTTTATAGAATGAAAACATTTATCATTTACTTTAAATAGAACTCTAGATCATCGGTGATTTTGCCAATTTCTTTTTCTAAACGTCAATATCCACTTAATAGAACATAAAAGTAGATTAAACTGGTCAACTATTAGATCAAATCTTTTATTCTCCTTTGATTTATTTCATTGTCCTAATATTGATATATAATCGTTTTCAGTGTTATTTCTATGCTTTTATGCAATTTTTATTACATAGCCTTTCGGCATTTTATATGAAAAAATAAAATCGAATGCATTATGGACCATTTAATGCATTATAACAGCTTTACTTACATAAAAAGAATATAGAAATATTTAAATTAAATTCCAAAACTTTTGACGTTCAGTAAAATTTTCTTGAATGATATGTGTATTAATATCTGCTTTTAATGCCCATTAATTGTATGATTTCTTCTAATTTTCAATTCTATATGGCCAGAGATAGATTTAAAACTAAATAATTAAAGATGTCGCGAAGGCACGTACGCAGGCCATTGATAGTAGGGAGCTCCGACGCCCTGTAAAACGAAAACCATTTTAAATTATGGAATAAACAATGAACAATTTTTGAATACAACTTTAAGTACATACTGACATTAATAGTAACAAAAAAATCGACTAATAATTGAGTTGTTGTTATTAATTTAGTACTCAGTCTCATCAATTGTATTACTTATTGCTACTCTTTTAAGTACAATACATGTAATAATTCTGGTTACAGATTTTACGATTACAAAACTTTGTGCGCTATATAATAAATTGGTTCACTATTTATAATACCTAATGTTCATAGTGTATATTTAAATTTACATCACCGAACGACTACTTATTCGTTCGTAAATCTCAAGCATATTGCTACTCACTTCTCGTGTGTTTCTCGAGACCCTTTTTGCCAAATCCTTCTCAAACTTCCACTGGAGATCGCTGGCAGAGTCTCTGTTTGGCTCGTTGACGTCGTTGCTGCCGACATTATTTTGTAGAGCATCCTCTTGTCTGTAAATGTCTTTCTTGGGCTTATCAACGTAAGCCGGCACAAAGTATCTCAGGCCGAAACCGGGCAAACTTTGAGAGCTCAAAATTTGGGAAGGTGTAATGTAATCTTTTGGCACTTGAGCTTGAATTGGTGACAGTGACTTTTGGTTCGTCGGTATGTATGAGTTCGCGAAGCGCTGTGCGTTACTCAACGGAGCTGGAGTGGGCACGTTGAAGATTATATGGGTGTACCTTGGCTGAGGAATGAAGAGCTGTGGTCGCCTGTGGAAACAAATTTTATATTAACGAACTACAATTATTATCTAAATGGTAGATATTTTATGAAATAACTTTTAATAACTTTTCGAGTTTAGTGATTAGGGGATCTGGTTTTTTTTGTTTGAACTATTCTGAAATTTATCTCAACGCTGACTCTTAATGAGATCTTTTTTACCCTTTGAAGTAGGTTTTTATTTGTGGTAGGTCTGACAACGCTACATTCGACGCTGCCTTCGACGCTGTGTTTGTATTGAATAAATACATATATTTTTTCTTTTTTTTTCTTTAATAATAATTCCTGTACTGTAAACCAGATTCAAATTAATCATTAAAAATACCTTCACATTTACATAGATGACTGACTCTTTATCATTAATTATTTCGATATAAAAAGAAAACTGATGAACCGATTTAGATGAAATTTCTTTCACCTAATATAGAAAATAATTATTTTTTTTATGGCGGAAAGCTAGTGTTTATATATAATATCGTAAACAACGGGACAATTATCTGACAGGTCTGTTTATGTTACAAAAATATAATCTATAAAATCAATAACAGCTCTATTGAGAGATCATAAATGATTGAGGTCCTTTAGTTTCTAGCATGTTGATTTAAACTTAATAACTCAAATCCTCGTATGGAATGAGACAAATTATGTAAAAGGCTATCTTGATCTACCAAGGTGACAAAGATTACGAAGTGTGTCTAGTACATACAAACAGATAGATTATAATTTTATTATGGAATGTGGGCGAGCTATAGAATTTGCCGGAGTCGCATACATTTAAAACTCGTTCCCATCTTTCTTAGATAAAAGTAATGTCATATTGCATTTGAATAAGACATAGGTATTCCAATTTAAATGCAATTTCTGTAAATTAAATATATGAAGGCATTTAAGCGGTTCTTAAAAAGAATAGTGATTCGGTTATTTTGATTTGGTATTTGTATAAGGTAAATATACAGAACGTTTATCTACAAATCTATTTCAAGAAACTTATTATCTGAAAAAACTGTGCATTAGATTTTTATAATGCAAATACTATTCTGAAATGTCGGGAGCATTAAAATCTCATTCGAAAGATACTGTGCAAAATTGACGTAATTATGAACTTCCGTTGGTAACATGAGTGTGACCAATTAAAAAAGGCTTCAAATGTCAATATAAAACTGATATTGATATTAAGGAAGTTCCAACTAAAAAATAATTTGAAAAGGAACTATGCAGTAGACCCGCAAGTTATTGGAATCTTAACTAATTTCTGCGATCAATTTCAAATCTTATTATTTTCTAATTGATGTTCTAAGTAGATTGCGAAAAATCGAATAATTTAAAATTATTTGAATGGTTCATTTGCCTGTGATTTTAGAAGAGTGATTTAACTATTGAACTTTATTTTACTTAACCAACAGTAAAATATATTTAAAGTATTCCAATAAATCAACCTTTGGCTTTTATAATTTCAGTTTTATAAAAGTGACTTTGATTTTGGTAAATTAATTTCTATGGAATATTCCATATATATGCATGCGCACCAAAGACGATGCACCATAGCTTATAAAAATGCTTTAGCGAACCGTAATATCGTTCAGCAATTAAACGAATAAATAATATAATATGCCTGAATGTTTTTATTTTGACAAAGTACAGTAATGGTTTATGCTTTAAATTCTCAAGAAAAAATACTTTAATAGACTCGAACCATCTTTAGTCAATAAAAGGAAAACAGAATAAGCATCTATTTTCTTTTTTGACTGCGTACTAATCACTTGAACCAGCCAGTGCGCTAATTAATTATCTAATTTCAATTCCTTTCAATGTGGCATTTGAAAGAAATCCAAGAATGTCACGCAATCACTATTTCACGTGTGATAGCGATCTTGCTCATTAAAATCAATATTCGTTCCGAAATCGACTGCAATTTTAACGTTATTTGATTTCATAAATCACTATACTTTTTAAAAGGGATTGATATAAATTTTGTAATTAGCGCACAGACTCAGCACATCATACAGTAAATACCGCAGCTACGTTACCAATGTGCGTTGGGGTCAGGTGAATCGTTGGACCGTTCTTCCCACACTGGTGCGGGGACACGGTACGGCTGCGGCGGCGGCAGTACCGGTTCCGGCGTAGGTGGCACTATGGGACCATCGTTGGTGCCGAACTTAACCATGATTGAGTGTACGCATGGCGCGTACACCATCAGACACGTCAGCAACTGCAAAGTAATTACATGATTTAAGTTAAAGCGGAACTGACAGTTTAATACTTATTTACCTGTCAAAAGATGGCGCTATTATTGCAATTTATGTATAAGGGGATTGCTTTATGGTTACACAGCACAAAGTTATTTATGTGCTCAACTATGGCTTTGATTTAATTATAAAAGTAGGTAGCTTTATTTATTTAAATTGTGAAATAGAGTTTTGATCATATTTAAATTAGACAATTGATACCTATATTAATAATATCACACAATAATATACATCACTTTGTAATAAAGTGTCAAAGTTATAAATAATATTGTGTGTGCTCTTACCACTATTGGATCGTTGTCTTTGAATATAAATATTAATTTATTATACAACTAAACTGTATAATTATGGTGTACAATATAGAATTTATTCATTCATTCATAAATTAAATGAGAACACTTGGGTGATCTCGCGACGGTCTAACAAAATTATGGCGTACCATAAACAATAATATTTTTATTGGCATATTGGAATTTTGATAACAGAGTTTTTTCGGTTCAGAAAACTAAGACTATGTTTTGATTCTAGAGGAAGCCATATATGAAACTAAAAAAAGAACTGATTCTAGTGGCGAAAAGTAACATGTGCTTGAAAAATTCGTCAGTCCTGTTAGGTCTTGAGCAGCTCAGTGGTCAGAACAGTTAACAAGATTGCAAAAGGTCGCGGATTCGAGTCCCATTGCAAAATATTTGTGATTTATTTAAACATATGTCATTAAAAATATTTTCCAATATACGAGTAGCATTGCAAATGCAAATTTGATAAAAAATTAAGATTAATTTTTATCAATAAAAGTAATCAATTCATTCCAAATTACACAAACAACAATTAAGCTAAGATTCCCTTGAATCACCATGTTCTCAAGCATAAACGCGTCCGGTTTGCGATCTGATCTAATTTCAATAAATTAAAACCCAATCAAGATCATCTGCCTGTGACCTTGCCATCTATTCCCACGTATTCTCTAATGTAAATTAACTTGTTGCACCAAATCCCAGATTTGCGCGTAATTTTTTTATCTATTAAATACTTAGCAACAGTTGCGTAGCTGTTCATGTTGCCTTCTATTGTTTACATTAGCACACAAACTTTTGAAACCTCTTTCCAAAGATATACGCTTTTAAAACGGCAGTCGTATTAAAACCTTATCGTTGGATCTTGACGATTTTATTATCAGGTGATTTAAAACAACTAAATAAGTTAATAGTAGACATTACGTTGTGTAACCATTGGCTCGAATGAACTTGTATTGTTCATGTGTGAATCTGAAATTGTTTGATTTAAAACAAGCGTGATTGTGTTATCAGAAAATGTAATCGATTTTGGTAATTAGCATATTTTAAATTGCCAAACTATTTTTTGTGCGTATCTTGTCGCATTTTATTTATTACATTATAAATACTATATTACTCTTCAACTTGTTGAATAATAACCTGAATTAATATTCGGCAAATAAAATTATTAGCATTCGTTAGTCGTTTCTTGTAATTTCGCGCAAAAGTCATTAAAAATATTCATAGTAGTACAATGGTTTCAGTCTTTTGGGCATCTTACCTATCGGCAACGATTTGGGGGATATTTCAATATTGTATAGATTTAATTTATAGCTTAGTTATTTATTCTTAGTATTAACGAAATACATTATAAATCATTTCAAACTTAAATATCTATGTATACTATTATTTTTTTCTACATCCTTCATATATTAATGCTTCGGATAGCACCCGCAAATATTAATGCAGCTATAAACATGCAATTGGTTTTGTACTTATTTACTGCACTAAATAAAGATTTATTATGATTTTAATGCGAATAAGAGCATTTATGAATACCAACAACTGCAGATGCAAACCGAAAATAGTTTATAGTTTAACTTGCTAAACAAAGGAAGAAGTAGGTCCATTATATTTTTTTTGTCACCAATAGAATTATTGTGACTTTCTTACCTTCTTTAAACCAATTTAACCTCTGCAATCTCATACTGATCAAATTAATAACTGCACAATTGATCTTCTATTAATAGTTTTATTATTATGCTGGCAGTTACATACCTACAAGCTCCTACATATATTATTTTATTGTAAGTTACGATCAATCAAAGACGCAGTTCTAACTCTGCAATTAAATTATTGGTAATAAACAATAAATTATATACAACTTAACTACTTGGATATAAAGAAATACACACCTGTAAACTTGAAAAGGCTTTCATGATTCTGTACTCGTTGCGTTGTTTGTTTACTTAATCGATGTAGTTATACCCTGTAACAAGATATAATTGGTTTAATGATGCAAAGTAGGTGTATAAAAGCTAAAAAAAAGTATTACTTTAAAAATACGTATACAATATTTCAACTTATTTATTCGGACTTTATATAACAAAGGCCCCAAACTTTTTTTTCTAGAAGTCTGTATAGACGATGTTCACATAAGCTTTCAAAAATGTGAAAAGTAAATACAGACTATGTGTATAACTCTGTATTGTGTGTATTTAAGGTTATTGAATAACAAATATACAGTACGCATAATTGTAAAAAGCCATGATTCGAATACGATTAACGGGCGTTTTCTGAATTGAGGAAAACACAATATCTCCACTGATTATTCTCAATAACTTAAGTTTTTTACGTTTCATATGGCAAAAAGTCTTAGTTTTATCACATCACTATCAGTTGATCATTAAAATAAAATGAATCAGTAATGAAAACTTCTTTAAAACGTCGGAACAAAATGTTTGACGATTCAAAACTACTTTTAAGAAGTCTATTTGAATAAGATTATTTTGACTTTGACTTTGACGTTTAAAATGGTGTAGCACGGTTTGAGACGTGCTCAACTGTATTTTCAATTCAAAAACTAGCTCGACAATAATCTGATACAGTGTGTGGGACGGGATAGATACTGTAGATGAATCATTTGTTGTAATGCACTATTTAATATAGAAGAACTCACACTAAGCGTGATGTGGCCTAATTGTTTCGTTTCAACGTCTATCGCAATTGATTTAAAAAAAATGCGACTGTGTAAGCAATTTCTTTAAAGTCTACAGCGCTTTCAGAAAGAATGACAATTTGAACGATCAAGAAATATAAAGAACACTTAGTATTCATATTTGCGTCTAACGCTTGCTTAAGTTAATTCAAATTAACGTCCAATTAGCAATATCATTCATTCAAATTACTTTTTTTAAATACGGCAAGATTGCAATCGCTATCACAAATCAAATAGTTGTAGCATGAAATTCGTGAATATATTTTAAATGACGAATTGAAAAAGATTGAAATATATTTTAAAATTAGATACTTTTGCCCTTGCTGAGCTTTTTTCTTTAATAACTAGCACATAAAACAGCACATCGTGTTGCCATAAAATTGTAAATAATTAAATTCCAATTTGAACTTTATCTTTAATGAATTAGACATTAAATAAATCGGAATCAGTTTTGTAAGTTATAGTCTGTTAATTGTAGACCATTAATAAACTTTACCAGTTCTACCCGCTATGTGCAGAAGCTTTACGAGGTTTTGTTCATTAACTAAACGATAATTAAATACTTAAATTTATAAAATGACTATTAAATATAGTAATAGAACTAATGCTACCTGACTATTATTATAAACGCAACAGGTGGCTTCTTGTTCATCTATATAGGTATCCCATTAAACACAAAACACAGTTTCACAACGCAATTCTCCTGCTGTAAAAAGTTATGAAATCAACGTATACCAAGTCGATTAACCTATCATTCTGTGAGAGCAACTATCTAACCTTGTCATAGATTTAGGGATACTTGGAGAACGCATAGGTATGGTAAAATAATGTTGTTATTCACAATACAACCAAAGTTCACATTGATTAGATATAAACAAGTTAGGTATGTCGTTCCCGAATGTGTCACATATGCTTTATCATCAACATTAGCCCTTTACATCCCCACTGTAGGGGCTCAGGCCTTCCTTATGGATGGTTACGGACGATGGGCATTGATCCTCTACGCTGGCCCAACGCATATTAAAGACCAACTACTTAAGGTGGCTTCCAAAGCACGGAGCACCTCGAGTAATATTTTTTTAGGCACCGACCTCATGACTGACCATTGCGAAAGTTGCTTAACAATAACGATCGCGGGCCGCGGCGCTTATCCAAAACGCCACTGAGCTACTCTACATATGCTATCTATTGACTGCATGTAAGTACTGAAGAATCAACTTAGCCCTTTTATATATTAACGAAGCCCAGTTGATTTCGTTTATTGGCTGTTCGTTGGTCCACTCTATACGTCACATAGATTTAAATATGTATGGTATGCATAATTATGTATGCCATAGATAATCGTATCTTATCATAGATTTTTTTTATGTATATTTTATTAATTCCCTAGTAAATGTTTGTAAAATTCTCATTGGTTTGTGTTCTAAAAAACGTTACATATATTTTCCTTTTGCATGCAAAATGATAACAGTATTCAAAATGTAGAGCCCGTGGGTCTGCTAGAAGTGCCTTAGAATTTTGATGATCTATGGAGTCGGTCGGTGACAAATTTAAGGTATTTTGAATAGCAATAATATTTAAAGTACTCGTTGAAATTCAAATATGATTTGAAAATGTGCCTCGATATATGATGTCCTTTTGATCACTGAAAATTTAGGATTCTAGTTTACTCCACAACGAAGTTAACGGGGGTCAAAAATGGTCAGAATGGCTTCAAGAAAAGGATGGTAAGGCCGTGCCCCTTTTACTTTTTTGGCTCTTTCGTGCCCCCAGATATAAAAGAGAAAGGTCACTGACTCACTCATCATGAACGACAAGTTTCAAATTTTACATGGGGGTTCATTTTAGGTTATAGACGCTCACTAAAATAGGATTTGGGGAAATTAACCCCTTGTTTTTTGAGGTTGATAATTTGTGTAAAACTTCGTTACCGCAAGTGCTAGTCTCAAGTTTTGCATAGTGGTTCGTTTTTGTAGTCTAAATTAACATAAGGGATATTTCTTATCTCACGAAAAGTATTCCCTAGGGACCACAGCAATGGCAAAAAGCTAGTAATTCATTGTTATTTTATCTTTGTTAGTGCACTTTCTAAACGAATGTAAGACTCGGTAATGCAAAAATATAAAATTAAAGATTATGACTACTCTTTCCGTTCAGTGCCGGTAATAGCAAGTAATTCTATTTTTCTTCAGATGTTTAAATGGTACTGTCTGTTTGTGTGTATTATAGGTTATATTATATTAAACTTTATAGATGAAGTACATATGTTTTTATCTTAGTTACTAGAGGATGTTTGTTTGACAAACTTATTCAGGAACTCAATTGAAATCGCAGTTGTAGTTTTATGTTGATTTAAATTGCGAATACTTCCAAATTAGTTATAATTTTATAGTTAATTTACTTTTTAATTAGGTACATTTTAGGTACATTTACTTTTTAATTAGGCACTACTCTTAAATAAAACGATTAATAATTACATTGCGTGTTTTTGAAAACTATTTCATTCCGTGTTACTACACCACACTACACTAAGACATCGGACCCCTTACAATCTCTGCTTAATTTTCATCCATTTTCAAATTTACTTACGCTTAATCGCAAGGGGCCCGGTATTAAATTATTTACGCCGAATCTCATGTGGGGTAAAAATCTACTTAATAAATAAATTCAAGATCATAATTAAAAACTTACGAGTGAACTCGTTACAATAAACTAGTACCTATCTAAATCACCGGTACTGTCGAAATAGATGCGTATTCACTGACTAACCATACTTCATAAAGCATATTTAATGCAAATTAGTACCTATTAAAACAGAATTGCACCCATTATGAGAAATATTAATTATTTCGTAACTCAGTAATATCTACATAGTGAAGATTCTCATTCGTTTTACTGTCGGGGAATAAAGTAAATTATTTATAAGTTGATTATATTAATATGTAACAATAGCAATGATTAATATAGCTTTTAAAATTATTTACTTAATGTTTTTGTCTTTTTCGTAAATCACAAATTTTTCGAATTTATTGTGTAGATTATATTAAACACTATGGTTTGTTTCCTACATTGCGAGGCAAAAAAAGTTCTGGGATCTAAAGCACCTCTAAAATGAATCGGATTCTTTATATATCCGATTTATACTTATACCAATTTTGATTCTTTCTATATGTAGTGAGTATTATCATATGTTATGTGGTAATTTTTAATTTTCATTTACGTTGTTTTATTTTGTTTTAAATATAGGTTTTTGTCTTTATTTATTTCAATATTTTTTACTATGTATATTAGAAGCTCATTGCTAATTTATTTATCCATTATTAAACTTATTAAATTATTTGTATTTACTTTTATGTAAGGTTAGTTTATTACTATTATCAGACATTATGTATTATGTATTTAATTTCGTTCAAATCCAATTCACTACTAACCTACACTCGACGCTACTATGTTCCATAAATAATGAGTCAACATTGTGAAATGCTAAAGAAAGGTGAGCCAGTTGCCAATCTCCAGCATGCATCAAAATGCATAGAAATTAAATAAAACTTGACATTATTATATTTACAAATGATCCTTCTACAGATAACATAGCTTGTAAATACAGCTTGTTATCTGTAGACCTGGTGAACGTCCACTGTGTACATACGCACGCACGGTACGCAACAGAATATACGGATTTGCATATGCTATATGTTCACTGAATCCCGGTTTTTAATAGAAACAATACCACTTGACAATTTTGACTGCAAAATTATGTATAAAAGTTCTATTAAAGTAATCCATATGACGTCATTGGCACGCATCACATTCTCTTTGCTTGTAGACTGCCACCGCTCGGTACATCGGGAACAGTTAGTGGACAGAGTGCTATACAAATTCATAAAAAATCTCTGGAAAATCCATTGCGTGCGAACGTTAAATGGGGATATTTGTGTGACTAGCAGGATAATGCACGGAGCGCTATACAATTTTATACAAAGTTATAAATATCCGTTACATGTATGCGTACAAAGAGGACGTTCACCTTATGGAAGTATTCTGAATAAAACGTTATTGGGTCTCGTCGTATTCTTCGTTCATATTATACGTACTGTCAATGGTGTTAGCAGTAAAGTGGGTAGAGTACTATACAAATTCATATAAATATTTGGTCCATTGCGTTCCGTGAGTACGTTACGTACGTTGCGTGAAAAGTGGAAGTTCACCTTTAGTATATGT